ACGCAACAACCGCAGCAACAACAACCAAGTGTCCAACAACAAAGTGTCCAACAACCAAGTGTCCAACAACAAAGTGTCCAACAACAAAGTGTCCAACAACAAAGTGTCCAACAACAACCGCAACCTACACCACAAGCAACGCAACAATCGCAACCGACACAACAACCAACACAACAGAATCAACAACATAGATATCATGCAGGTACTTTATGTTTGAGATTTTTTTTATTTATGTAGTACGAGATGTTGGATAATGGACAAAATGTTGACGGTTAGTTTGATAAGTATTATTAATAGAAATAATTGCTAGTCGCAGTAGTGGAAAAAGGGTCTATATGCCTCTTCATATCTTATCTTACTAATATTATAAATATGAAATTTTATGAATGAATGGATGGATGTCTAATGTTCAAGCGGAGAGTCTGGAACAACACATAGGCTACTATTTTTTTTATTCCGCTCAGACGGATTGCGGGCGGCAGCTAGTCGTAATATAAAAAACTGCAATGTACTCCCTAATCTCAAAAACTACTAAATAGATTTGAAAAATTATTTTTGCATCGTCCAGTTATTAATTAAGGTAATAGCTATTTAACATCACTCTTTACCCACAAGGAGCCGGGCAGGAACAAAACGAAAGTTCATATAACCACTTTGTTACAGATTATCCAGGTAACGGTCCCAACCAGTCGCAGCATCAGGGCAGCCCTGTACCCCAGATACATCCCCAGCAGTTAATGCACCAACAACCTTTGAATGTGAGTTTAAACCGCTAATCATTGGTTTCTGAGACCAAAATTTCTATATAAAACATATCGTCATCCCTATCATTATCTTATTATTTATCACTTTTAAATAATAAATACTGTTATTTTCAGGTGCATCGTAATAATGTGAGCCAACCACACGGACCTTCGCCCCCGCATCAGGCAATGCAGCCACAGCACTCGCAACAGGTACGCCTGTCACTTCATACACTAACAACCCATCACTGCACCGACCAACAACCTGTCACTTCATTCAACAACCTGCCACTTCATCCAACAACTTGTCACTTTACCGACCAACATGCTGTCACATCACCGACTAACAACCTGTCACTTCATCTCATTTTTTTAATTTTGATTGTTATTACTTTATTTATATAGTGCTACCAAAATATAATGCTACTTTGTGTATTTTAAGATTCATACAACTCCATACATTTCATTTGACAGGTGAGACTTGGTATACTGGATCAGCCGCCGCAAATGGTCTCCCATCCTCACCACACCATGCACAATATACCACCTCAACAACATATAGGTGAGTTGTAAATCTCGACACGTTCACTGCCACTAGTCTGGTGTTTACTAGTATACGTTCAAGTGGCAGTGAAAGTGTTAACATGTACAATGCTATTTTTTTTTAAGAAATAAATTCGTCAGATGAGTGCCATTAAATGTTTTGTGTTAATTTTCAGGACAAATCCCCCCAACGCAAGGATACGCCCCACCCGCCATGATGCCCGCTCAATATATGCAGGTGTGTACAAACATAGAAGTTACAAGGAAAAGAAAAAACTAAGCAAAGAACGTCGCTAGCGCAGTTGTTAACCGCTTGACTGGATTAAAACTGTCCAGGTTCGATTCCAGCGATGCATTAGTGTTTTTAGATTTTCGAATTACGTACATATATCCGATGTTCTTATGGTGAAGGAAAACATCGTGATGCTGCACATATGTGAGAAGATCAAAGATATGTGTGAAGTCTGCACTGAACCAGCATTCACTATGACCGAAGCATTGATTTAGGATAGGCTCCGAGCCTCTCAGTAGGGACTTATAGTCAGTGATACATGTCTTGATTCGTATCTAGGTCCAGCAGATTACAAGTCAAGTGCTAAAAACTTCGCTTACGACGCTCTGTGGCATACAAATATTACGAATAATTATAAATTCTGTTTACCCCCAGCAAAGCGGTAGTGGTGCGGTGTTCGGTGGCGCGCCGATCTACGCGCAGCCTCCCGCCGCATACCCACATCAGATGTACCAGCACCACAACTACGTATGTACATTATATACTTTGATATACAGGGTGTCCCAAAAGGTTACGTACATAGGAAGGGGGATGATAGGGGTGGTCACAAGGGTCACCAGAAAAATTAAATAAAAATTCCCCTCTGGGTATTAAAAAAAAATAAAGGGCATTTTTTAAAAACTTAGAAATTTTACACCTTCTGGGGCAATTTTAAAATCTTTGTTAGTTGTATTGTTTTTTTTATTTCATATTGATAAAGGGTTATTGACGATAACATAATAACGTTTTTTTTTAATATAGCAATATTTGTAGGTTATCGGTTACAAAATTGATCCAGAAGGTGTAAAATTTTTAAGTTTTCAAAAAATGCCATTTACTTTTTTTAATACCCAGAGGGGAATTTTTATTTAATTTTTCTGGTGACCCTTGTGACCACCCCTATCATCCCACTTCCTATGTACGTAACGTTTTGGGATACCCTATATAAGAATTTATATACTTTTCTGAACTACGTGTGTACTCAGAGTCGGAGTTTACTAAGGAAGCAACTTAAAGAGAACATCAAATGTCAAAATATGTATTATATGACATTAGAAATCTTACTAATACAGTCAAATCTGGATAACAGGAGACAGGATCACATTATTTTTTTTTCTTTGTAGAGGTTTCCATCTACGCCGAGTATCTTGCTTATAGAGGTTTCTCTGTTATCCAAGATGGACTGTCATAAATGCGAATGTATGAATCGATGTTTTTTATCACCTAAATCCAAAATGGTTCAACGGCTACTAATTAGATTTTTAAGTAACTGTCGCCCGCGACTCTATCCAATGTAGAATTATAAAAAAAACATAATTAGTAGCCTTTGTGTTCTTCCGGATTATGGTCGACAGTTATGACAAATTTCAGCGAGATCTATGCAGCCGTTCTGGAGATACCTTCAAACATCCATCCATACATTCGCATTGGTAATATTAGTAAGAAGTAAGATATATATATTGTCAGACACAGGCCGGTGGTGTGACGTACTACAACTGCGCGGAACAGGAGCAGCCGCCGCCGCAGCCGCTACGTGCGCAGCGCAGACCCACCGCCGCCATACCCATTGTGAGACCTCACGCGCCTCACGCGCCTCACGCGCCTCACGCGCCTCACGCGCCTCACGCGCCTCACACAACTCATACACCCAATGCAACGTCCAATACTGCTGCACCCCCAGACAGGTATAGTCATTTCTTTTTTTGGAAATTTACTAATATTTCTTTCACCATTCCAACTAAGCTCTAGGCTTGTGCTAGGACATGGTTTACAACAATAGTCGAATGTCGGGATTCAAACCCCCGACCTCGTGATCGTAAATCCGTACCCTTAACCATTAGGCTATTGACGCTTAATTATTTACAAGCCTAAGTACATAAATAAGACATATCGTTACTAGTACTAAGTTACTTATTTTGACCGCAACTTTGTCCGCGGGGAATTAAAAAGAATTTAATAGCGCGGAATTAAAAAAAGTTCATAGCGCGGAATTAAAAAATATTAATATCGCGGCATTAAAAAAAATATATAATAATATTGCGGAATTAAAAAAAAATAGTAAGTAGGCTATGTGTCCTTCCAGGCTATGTTCTACATGTATGACAAATTTCATCGCGATCTGATTATCCGTTTATGAAAAATGTAGTAACAAACATTATGTTACTAATATTATAAATGCGAATGTTTAGATGTTTGTTTGTTAGAAAATATCTGCAAAACGGCTGTATGGATCTCGCTGAAATTTAGCATAGATGTAGAACATAGTCTACAAGAACACATAGGCTACTACTATATTATTTTTTTATTTATAATTCCGAGCGAACGGAGTCGGTTGCGACAGCTAGTTATTTATAAAAATGTATGTTTCACAGACCTGCTAATTCAACAGAGAAGGATAATATAGATAGAATTGTGGAGAATATGTTTGTAAGAAAGCCCTGGCCTGCACACGGAGCTGGTGAGTTACTGAACAACATTTTTCGTTCATCTTTCTATAAGTATACACTGTTGGAACATAACACATTTTTTATTATCTTACTTATATATTATAAGGTGGCAAACGTGCATGCGGTTATCTGAATTCGCCGAAATGGCGAAGCTATTGAACATAGTTCTGTAATTGTAGGACAAACAAAGAAAGGGAATGTTTTCCCTTCCTATGCGTCCCTTTATTTGTCAAATTTACTCGCTTCTAATGCTTTCTTTATAAGAAAACACTGGATACATTTTTAAAAATATTATTTTCTTTTCCTTTTAATTTTTGCGTCAATAAATATTTAAAATTACGCCAACTTTCATAAGATTCAATGAAGACATTTTTTTTTATTTTTTTTAATTTTTTTTAACTGATTTAAAACAAAAATCTATTTTTATAAAACAATTTTTTTTCAATATGACGACTAATCTATTGTTCTCTTTATAAAGATTTGTTTTGGGCGAAGTTACAACACGCATATAAAATGCGTCTTTGGCTCAACTCTAGATTTCATCAGAAGATGTAAATAATTAAAACACAAAAAGTTTTTTCAACCAAGGAGATATCGGTTTTTAAGTTTCAATTTTATTTTATGTATGTCCTAAATATTTGTTACAAAAAAAAATTATTTAAAATTAGCTATTGGTTTGTAGTTTTATTCATAGTAATTTTATTGATTTTTTTTTAGGTTTTTATCCAGTTTGTAAATTAGAACTTGAAATAATTTTATCTAAGATTCAAATTTTTATGCAGATATAGATGGAAATGTTAAATCTTGTCATAATTTCTTATTAAATTAACTCTATTTTAGCATTTATGTATTTGTATGAATTTATTCGTAATTAATGTAATTAGAAGATTGTCGATTGTAAAAAATCATAATATAATTATTTTAACCGTGGATTTCTGAGACCAAAATTCGTTGAAAACATATTTTTACCTCCGTTTTGTCAGATAATAATAGAGATGACTATATGTTTTATACAGAGATTTTAATCTCAGAAACCAACGATTGAAATTGTTAAGTAGTGTCTTAACCGATGGTTTCTAAGACGAAAACCTCAGTATAAAACATATCGTCATTTTTTTTGACAAAACAGAGATAATTTAAACGGGGATTTGGTCTCGGAAACCTACGGTTAGTAGTAGAAATACTTAATCTACACTATAGGGTTGCTTAAATAAATATTATTTTTTTATAGAACAACCAAAAGATAAAACACAAGAGAACAGAAGTTCGCAAGAGCCTGCCAGTAAAGAATCATCACAGCCGAACAGTCTTACCTCTAGTTCAACATCTGATAAACCTTTGGAGAGCGTACAGAAGGAGGCAGAAGAGAAAACGGAGAAGATCGCAGAAGGTGACGTCACAGAAAATATAATAGACGCCTGACTGGTAAAAATAAATTTGTATGAGAGATATGAAACTAAATATTGTAGTGGAAGATAGTTTTTTTTAATTATGAAAGTGGTCACACATTTTTTTTTATTTTTCCAGTTTTTTTTTGTCTGAATGCGAATATTAATATAAATTATAATTTATGTATGTATGGGAAATATAGTTTTATGTTTATAATCGATAGATGCATAGAAAAAATTAAGAATATACAAAAAAAAATTGTGGAGTAAACATGTATTTTTTATCTGTATTAATAATGGTAATAATTAAAAGAGCGTCGGTGGCTCAGTGGTCAAGCACTTGACTTGCAATCTGCAGTTCCTGGGTTCAAATCCCGTCATGTACCAATGTGTTTTTTCCATTTCTGATTTACATATGTACATTTATACGACGTTCTTACGGTGAAGGAAAATATTGTGATGCTGCACATATCTGAGAAATTCAAAGATATGTTTGAAGTCAACCCGCACTTGGTCAGCGTGGTTGACTATGGCCTAGTTATCCCTAACTTAAGGTAGGCTTTCAACCCCTTAGTGGGGACGTATAGTGAGCTGAAGATGATGATTAATAATGGGGTTTCTAATCGCACAAATAATAATCTATAGTCAAATTGTAAAAAAAAAATTAAATTACTTGGCATTTTTTTTTTAGTTTTTTGATGTGTGACCACTTTCAACAGTCATATAGATTTACTATTTGGCTGTGTTCGTATTTTCTGTATTCAAATAATTATGAATTTTTCATATAAATTAAAGGAATCATAGTTTTTGGGGATGCTCTTTAAAATGTGTGGAAAAAAATATTTTGTCTTAAAATAAGTCTTTATTGCTAAGGTTGTTAGGACAATTATGCAATGTTGTGTCAATGTTGCTATTTATAAAAAGTACATGAGATTTTTGGGATTTAAATATATGGTAACACCAATATTTTAGATTTTAGGAAAACTGTTGGTTTGTAGGTTTTGTGAATAATTGTAGGACAATATTAAAGTCAGCCAATAAATAAATCAATTAAATATAATTATAAAATAACCAACAAAGTAAAATAAGCACATATATGTATAGATATGTACGGATTGGTAATGTTTTAACACGTTCACTGCTATCCACTCTGACTTAACGTGAAAATATGGCATTCAACGTGTTAGTATTCCTACTAAAGACATGTTATGCAAAAATATTATGAAAAAAAAATTGGGTATGGATTTTTTGTGAACGATGAATTTTGAATATAAGCAATAATTATGTGCCTAAATGTTTTGGAATTAATAATCGTAATAAAAAAACATTCAAAATTACATAAACTACTTAAAATTCAATAAATATAAAAGATGAAGAAATGATTCGTAATAATTTTTGAAATTTTTTAAATTTTTTTTTAAACATGCAACACTGAAATTATATTATCTTTTTTCGTCCGCTCTTAAAGGCATTATGTGTATATTCGTTTAACAAATTGCTTTTGCTTTTTATCCTACATAATTTTGTCTGACAAAAATACGACTAAATATTGACTCGTCAATATATTTTCTGAGTACTTATGGCATTTAAAAAAAAAGTAGACTTGACAGATGTCACAGATGACAAAGAGAAGAACTATCGCGTTTTTTTTATTTTATGGCACAGGAAAAAACATTAATTATTCCATCTGCTTTTTAAAGATATTGAACAAAAAAATGTTGTATCGTAATATTTTTTTTTAACTCAAAAGAACATTGTTTTCGACTAGTCTTTAATTAAGTACCATAACTAAAATCATAACTGGCAATATAGTAAATGTCTACTGAATATTTCAAAGGATATTTTGTAAAAAAAAAAATTGAAAAAAATCATAAAAAAAATATAAGCTTTTGTATAAATTATGCCGGTTATTTATTTATATTAAGTAAATATTGAAAAACCCTATCATTGTGTTTTATTTTTACAACCATCCCCATATTTTGTATGAAAAAAATGTTCCCACTCGTTTATCGTTGGTTTCTGAAACCGAAATCCTTGTATAAAATATTGATTCTTGTCTCTGTTTTATCGAAGATAACTGTTGACGCTATGTTTTACACGGCGATTTTGGTCTAACCTAACCTTTATGTTAAAAGGAAGTCCTTAATTTTTTCCCGCTTTTTGGTTGCCATTTGAAATAAAAAATTATATAAGTACAAATATTTTTTTTATTATCACAAATAAATGTGGTTTGTTAATAGCTGCCTTAAATAACAATATAATACAATTGCAGTTTAACAAAAAACATTTTTATATACTATGAAATATATAATATAAAGTTTAATATATTAGCAAAATAATTCTTGTTTAAAGAATAATTTCTAAATTGAAAATTGACAGGCGACAATTCAAAATGTTGCCATATAAAAAATCAGAAATATATTGCCGAAATACATCATCTTTCATTTTTACACTAAACTAGTAGAAAGAGATAGCTTATTCGGTTTTATTATAAGACTTGACTAAATTAAATACAATTTTTATGGCAATTAATTTGATTTTGTATCCATTAAAAATATCCTAGGTTTTTAAAGGTTATGTGAATGGCACAGATCTATTTTTTTACATTATAAAAAGACAAAATAATTATCGATATGGAAAATTCGACGTAACTCCTAGACTATGTTGTTGACAATAAAACTTCATAACTGGTAAAAACATGCTAAGAAAATATCAAAGAGAAATCTGTCTTGTATATATTTTGGTCTTCTTATTTAATAAATGATTTTAAAACAGATTTCTAGATGTTTTACATTTTTGTTACGGAAAAAATTCCTTAAAGTAAACTCATTAAAATTACCTTAAAACGAAATAATCATGAGCAAATGACATTGAAAATGTTTCAAATAAAATAACCAATTACAAATCTTCAAAATCATACGTGATTCGTTTCTACAACTTTCTCCCCTTTTTTTCTCTTCTTTCCTTCTAGATCAACGTAAATATCTTCTAGACTTCTCATTTTAGTTTCTGGTACGCAGAAGATTAAATAAAAGACATTGGATAGACAGATGAAACTGAATATCCAAAATGTTGAATGATATCCAATCCACGTGTTTAGAGGTGCGAACAGTTTTAGTAACGCGAAGTCTGTACCAAGAGATATCGCCATGATGAGGGTCGCCACGGTTCCTCGGAGCTGAAAAGAAAGAAAATATAACTTTATTATTTACTCAGTCAAGTATTTATTCATTAGAGACATTAAATCCATCAAAATTGAAAACTGTCACCCGTGACTTCGTCAGCCCGGAACATAAAAAACTTAGTAGTCTGTGTGTTCTTCCAGACAATGTTCTACAGAACCTTGCTTTTATAATACAAAGAAACAGAACTCGATCTTCGACTATTGCCATCTCTTTTTGTCAAATGAAAGAAGAGGGATGGCATATTTTAAGGGACGTATCGACAGTGGAAATTCACCGTTACAAAGATAGCCTTACCTGGAAGTTAAACATCTCAGTCATAATCACAAACGGCAATGGTTGTAACCCTGACGCATCAGCGAAAATACACGCGCAGAGTGCGACAATAGGCACCCAGCCTGGCATCAAAACGCCGACGCTCTGCAGGTAGAACCATACGCCCAGCAAGCACATACTGAAGCCAGCAACCACGCTGGTTACTGCTAGAAGAGGCTGTGAAAAAAAGAGAAATTTGAAACACCATGTGTGTTACAAAAGGCAATAGATGGCGCTGTTCTTAAAATTTTCCGCTGCAACATTGAAATATTACAACTTTGTTTTTCGTATTAATTATATTGTCCTTCCGTTTATAAATAGCGTTTAACCTTCCTTACTAATCAGGTTATCAAATGCAAAAAGAAATACTCAAATCGATTCAATAGTTTTCGAAATTAGCGGGAACAAATCAGCTTCATAATATCTTACCTTCCTCCCAGCGCGATCGACGAGTTGACAAGCCAAGAATGAGCCAATAATTTGCACCGCAGCAAGTAAGATTGACTGTTTGTTGGGTGACAGCGCAATACTGGTGTCAGGATCTTTCCCGGCTTCAGCAAATATATGACTAGCATAAACCAAAACGGCTATACAACCGCAGAATTCACGCGTTAAGTTCACAATTAGTGCGACCCAGAATGCCTTAACAGCTGTTTTGTCGGAAACTGAAACAAGGAAAGGTTAAAAGGTTATGAGTTGAGTATTGTCGCAGTAACTAAGGGTATCTTTAATGTATTGTTTACTGAACCTACACTTAAGGGTTCCACTTAAACACTATGTGTGGTAGTGCTTAATGGTTGTTTATCTGGATTTTATTTAGCATACATAATAAACAAATAATAATACTTTGATTTGAGTATTACTTTGTACTAAAAAACACATGATTATATACCTAAATAGAGGGGTAGTCAAACATCACCACATCATGGTGTCAAAAGCTAAAAAACATCACTCGGTTATCGGAAGACCCATAAGATTGTGCTCACCAAACGTACACTAAAATTATTATCGATCAATATAAACAAACATAATACGGAACTATTGGGACAAAGTCATACAGCAAACAGATTTATTATGCCAATTGAGAAGTGGACGCGAATGCCCTTGATATTTGAGCCCCCGCCATTATTCTCAATTCGCGTCGGTAAGTAATTCGGTTGCTTGTGTTCGTTGCGTGTCAAATGCCACTCTAGGGGTCAATTGGTGGTGTCATTCGGTCGACGACGTCATAATGACAAATTTGAATTCGCAATGCCACTGTGGGAAGCATTTTTGGGGTCGATATTCTGTATTTTTGACACTACACTGCAACAACTGTGGGTTTCTGACACCTAAATCTTAGTTAAAAACATATTTGATACCTATGTCTTATCAAGAATATTGGACAGTATTTATACACAGATATTTTCGTCTCGGAAACCATTGTTTATCAGTATTTTGCTACTCTACTGATGAAAAATAACTCACACAAAAGTCTCGGTGAGAACTTAAGTTCACTGGTGGTCTGCTCGATGATTAGTCGGTCTACTTCCTCGCTAATCGTCTTGTCAGTGTGAGGAAGCGATCGCAACCAACCCAGCACCTTCGCTGTATCCTGTGAAAAAATATCAGGATTTATTTAAGGGTACATCATAGCAAAATCAAGTGTAGGTCACGTGTATATGCGCCTTTTTCTTTCATTAGGGGATCTTCAAAATACACACAGAAGACTGGAAAGTTTCTTCCAATCTTTACCTATCCATTTCTACATCTAAAATCCACCTTAATCCATTTTTTTTAAATAAAATAGCAGATTTTTGTTAATTTACTAATATTTCTTGTACCATTCCAACTAAGCTCTATGGTTGTGCTAGGATATGTTTTACGACAATAGTCGAACGGCGGGATACGAACTGCGGACCACGTGATCGAAAATCCGTACTCTTAACCATAAGCTATTGACCACTAACCATAGAGCTAGCGATGGTAATCCATAAACAATATGTAAACAACGGATTAATAATTTTTAAGAAATAAAAATGTTATTTAAATACATAATAGCAATTATATTCTTTACATAAGTAAATAAACGTATCACAACAATGTGTTTGCCTTTAATAACAATCACGACGTGATTGTATAGCGAACGAGTTGCGGGAAACTTGACATCAATCAATTAAATGTATGGAGCTGCATGACTTTTGTATGATGCTCTTTATTGCCTTCAAATGAACTAAATGAATGTAAAGCGAAGTCTAGTTCCTTCCTATTGAAATGTAAATTGCATATAATGTTGTGTTATTGAAATATTATTTATTCATTTTACCATTTGATTATTGTATGTCGGTATACAATAAAAACAGTACGATACTTTGATCATCGGCTCCACAGTGAGTGGCTTGGAACACTTATTTAGGGGTGACTATGCCATAATCAACCACGCTGGCCCAATGTGGGTTGGTTAAATACACACATATCTTTGAATATCTTCTCAGATATGTGCAGTTCGCACTACGATGTTTTCCTTCACATTACGTACGTATGTAAATCGAAAGATACAGTGGTACAGGGCGGGATTTGAACCCAAGACCTGCAGATTACAAGATCCACCGACTCTCTTTCAAACATATATATAGAAGCCATCGAAAATCTACTGTTCACTGAAGTTTAATTCTGATGTCAGTACTCACCTCGTTTCTTCCACACTTGACTAAGTACGACGGCGTCTCCGGCAGCCTCAGTAGGATACAGAAATGAACCAAGGGTATTGCTAGAAGTATCCAAAGAACCGTGTTGAATGGTAGAAGATCGCCCAGTACGAATACCACAAGGTTGCCAACTGTCTGTAAAGATTTTTAAATTAATGTTTTATAATACACGTAACATTTATTATATTATTCGGTTGAATAAGGTTAAAAGACATGGGCATTGATTTAAAAATTCTAACGACTTCTTACTAATATTATAAATGCGAATGTTTCGATGGATGGATCTCGCTGAAATTTGGCATAGATGTAGAACATAGTCTAGAACAACACGTCGGCTATTAGTTTTTTTTTAATTCCGTGCGGATAAAGTCGTGAGCGACAGCTAATAAAGTTCTAATCAGTGTTTAATTTAATTGATAGTACCAAAAAGTTTACAAACTCTTTATACAAACTATATTTATTTGTATTGTATTCAACGTATATACAATTACAAGGAAAACCGTTTTTATTGTAATAAAATAAACAATAGCAAAGTTCAGGCGTTTACTAAACAAGATGACATAACTGAGTTGGACTTCCCCTTAACCATTAGTTAAGGATACATTAATATTAAAACTATTAGAACACATTCGTACGAGCGCTTTTTTCTCGCCGTATTTGCAATGTCTATATTTTGTTCTCTTTTAATCATTTATGTTATTAAAAGCCCACTAATATTATTCTTATTTATATTATTTTTTACCTAACGGTTAATCATAGATTAAAAATTAACAATATTCAAAGAGTAAATTACTCTGCAATTCCAGGGTTGCCACAATAATAAAACTCGGCGCTAATGTTAGTGACATTTCGAACGCTTTTTTTTAGCGCGTTAACAAAACACCCGTGCCAATGTCTTTATTTAAACTTAATAATTATAAATGTAAGAAGTAATCTTACCTGAGAGAATATAACAAACGTTCCAGTCATTCCTCTGATGCTATCTTCACTTATCTCTTTGACGTAGAGCGGACAGACGACAAAACCGCCGCCAGATCCGAAGCCTATCAGTGCACGTGCACCGATTAATGCTATCGGGTGAGTGCAGATCAATTTGATAGCCCAACCCAGCTGGAGAAGAAACATCGAGGTAAATATAACAATTATATGATCAGTGGCTCAGGGTTTCAGCAATTGACTTATAATATGCAGTTCCAGAGTTCGAAACCCGACGTACCTATGTGTTTTTCGATATATATACATTTATCCAACGTTTACGGTGAAGGAAACATCGTGTTTTTTTGCACTTATATGCGAAGAAATTGCAAAGATATGGGTGAAGTCAACCCGCATTAGGCCAGCATTGACTACGTCCTAGTCTCTAACAACTTAAGGTAAGCTTCGAGTTCCTATGTATTGTTAAAATATTAAGCGCTATAACAGTATTGAATCTCAGTTATTTTTTACCTTTGATAAACTGTGTTAATATTATTTTGTTAAACGGGAATTTATACGATTTTCATTGTTCATTATACTGTCTTGAGGTATCGGTTTAATTTAAAAGATGCTAAACAGCATGAACCGTTATAGCATTAGACTGGCTAGTAAATACTGCAAGGCGCCGGACGTTTCTATCCATTAAACACGCGTTATTTCGTAGTTTTACTGTTAAGGTATTTTACACACGACTGTTTAAGAATTTTGAGGTTATGTTTGGAAATTTGTTTTTATTAGTTGCTATTTAACTTGAAATCTATGTTTAGTTCTCTTAATCTTTTAATTTTGAAGGAGATATCTTCAACATATTAAGCAGAATTTTTTATATTTACATTTATTATAGTTTTAATTTTAAATGTATTAAGGCTATATAGATTCTGCGTATGCACTATTTATAACAGACGCTTTTTAAACGTCGCATTTCTAACTGTAAGATTCAAATTATAGGATGTACTTAAAACGAAAGTTTGTATAATAATTTTTATTCTAATATTATTAATAGATTGAAAAATATTAGCACTTATTTTTTTCTGTATATTTGCTATACAAATTATGAAAGTACAATATCCATTTATCTACTTAATCTATATATATAAAATAAAGTGTTAGTAACACTATTTATAACTCAAGAACGGCTTTACCGATATGCCTGAAAATTGGTGAGGAGGTCGCTTAGAGCCAGGAGACGGCCATAGGATACAATTTATTCATTTTTTTTCGAATTTATGCCTTGAAGAGCTGCTTTTTATTTAACTTACTAATATTATAAATGTGAATGTTTAGATGTGATTTGGATGGATGGATGGGTGTTTGAAGATATCTCTAGAACGGCTGACCGGATCTCGATTAATTTGGCATACGTATAAAACAGTCTGAAAGAACACATAGGGTACACTAATTAAGTTTTTTTATATATCCACGCGGACAGAGTCGAGGGCGACAGCTAGTTCGTAATATCGCCAGGGATCGTGTGTATAGGCCTTATAAAAGCGCATGATTGGAATCGAAAGGGCTATTGACTTTCTCCGCAAACTCACGTCTCAATAAAACGTCTTAGTATAACGGAACTATACGCAAAGCGAGCCATTCTCTACTAAATGCAATGCGTGTTGGCTAATTTTAGAACCCTACAATTATAAATGTCTGGTGAATAAATGCTTAATGTGTGAAGGCGCCTTTAGTTGACACGTAATATGTAAATGCAAGATTCAACGGAATATAAAGGTGACTTTATATGTGTACCTAAAGCTAGTTTTTTTATTTTTTAGTCAATTGCACATAGTTTCTGAATTTAGTCATTAATGTAATTTTTAATGTTTAGGGTTCCGTACCTCGAAAGGAAAAAAACGGAACCCTTATAATAAATTTGTTGTCCGTCCGTCTGACAATAACCTTTTTCTCAAAAACGCGTAAAGCTTTCAAGCTGGAATTTGTTTTACTTATCTTAATAGTTTTAAATATTCGTCAAGTTTATTATTTCTATTAATGTATTTTAATTTTAAATGTATGTATAAAAATATGTAAGTATCTTGTATGTTAGTAAGATAGTAAGTAATATAAATAAAAGATAATAAAGTCTATGACTGTCTTGCCAGGGTAAAAGAAAACAAAAAGTGCTTTTAAGGTTGAATTTGTATGGTTAAAAAGGTAGAAGACCGAAGAAAGTATAGATAGGTAATATGAATTAAAATATATACAAGAACATAGTAAATTCAGATATGACAGCTCATAGCGATGTCACATGGAATAGGTCATATTATCTCAACTCTTCGTAAGGATGCGGATGTGTGTATGTACCTTTATCTGGATTGTGACGTGTGTAGCCGCCTTAATAGTCGTAATCATCAGTAATTCTACCACGCGGTTTGATAGATTGTATTGTGTAAGTTTTGGGTTCGATTCAAGAAAATTTTGTAATATAGAAATCTTCTATAAATAGGTGAATATTTGATTTAACTTAAATAATAATACCAGCGAACAAACTCACTATAGGTCCCCTCTAAGGGGCTCGGAGCTTACACTAAGTTAAGGGTGACTAGGCCATCCAACCACGCTGGCCTAATGCGGGTTGGTTGACTTCACACATATCTTTGAATTTCTTCTCAGATATGTGCAGGTTGCATCACGATGTTTTCTTCACCGTAAGAACGCCGGATAAATGTATATATGTAAATGGAAAACACATTGGTACAAGGCGGGATTCGAACTCAGGACCTGCAGATTGCAAGTCAAGTGCCCTGAGCTACCGACGCTATGGTTACAATAAACAAATTAAAGATATAACCTAAAATACTTTAGAATCGACTACTGACAGAAATTCATATTGGATCCTTGAGATCGGTCGGAAAATGATTTTTATTTTTTTCTTCTAATTCATTCGAAATAAATTGTCGAGACGGGCCGTATAAGGAGGTTAATACTCTAAACTATTTTTTTTTCAATCACAACTTTTTTCTATATCATAAAGTGGCAAACGAACGGCCACCTGAAATCGCTGGAATAGCAAAGCGACCGTTGCCCATAGACATACGCAACTGCATATGCGTTGCCTACCTTTAATTGACGGAGGATGCACAGAAAGAGAATATTTTCCCTTCCCATACATCCAGTCATCCGGAAAGTATCCACTTCCCATCCTTTCCTTAGTTTAAATTAAACTTTACTATGTCTATCCTTAGATAAGCCATAAAAGATTATTAGTACCAGTTAATGACAAAAAAATACTGGATAGTTTTTAATGTTTCAAATGGGACCAAATGACACGCAACACCTTTCGAATAAAAAAAGAATTATGATAATCGGACCACTAGGGACGGAGTTATCGCCGAACAAAATAATACCGACGAATTGATTATTGAAGTCGGTTAAAAATACTCACAGAAATTGGTAGAGAGGCGCATAACAATGCGTTTTTTCTTCCAAACTTGTCGGCAGCTACTCCATAAATGAAGACAGCTATTGGTGCGAAGATAAACATGATGGAAGCCATCCAGGATACATCTTCTTCGGAAAGCGGAGCATCCGAAGGTGAGGATTCACCCATAAGTAGAGCCTTGTTTGGTGATATCCAACCCATAGCTGTTCCATACGCTAAGATCGGCATACACACTAAAACAAAAATACTATGAGTTTTTTTTTTAATTTAAGCATTACTGAAAAACCATTGGTTACTGAAAATTGTATGAAAATTAGTTTACAAGTTAAGTGAAGTCTTTAAGTTTAGTCTTATTTTAAACTAACTATCGCCCACGACACCGTCCGCGTGGGTTTAAAACATTTATGTGTTCTTCCTATGTTCTACATCTATGCCTTATTTCAGCGAGATTCATGCCGACGTTCTGGAGATTCTTTTTAATAAACATACATCAAAACAATATCATTTATAATATTAGTAAGAGTAAGATTGATTTATATACAGTAGAGTATTAACACCAGACTTTTAAACATTACATCTTTAGGCATGATTTTTAATCATATAAATAAAACGCTTCTCCAAAAAAATTTTTTGCTACTAAAAACGTGATCTTTATCCATCATATTTGCGTTGTTTTATTAGAATTTATTTTCCTTGATTGGTTCGCAGTAATTCTATTTCAAGTATTTGTGATATAATCCTTTTCAAATATATCATCAGCCCAAGGTCAGCGCTGCGTGGTGACCACCAGCGCCCCGCTAAACCCTGCTACACTTAAAAATGCGTTCTGTAAAGCGATTCGCGCGAATTAGAGATTTCAAAATATCTGTGAACTGCTATACTGATTATAAATATATTTGTTTTAAAAAAGTTCTTGAAATTCAAAGATAAAAGCTCTTACTAAGGGTTTGTATATGTTCAAGCAATTGTGACCGGTTGCTAATTGCTTGACAGGTTAAGTACACTTATATAAAAACAGCTAAACATTCATGTATATTCGTCCGGTGCCGCCATCGTTTATAATGTCTCACGAAAGTTTGAATAGAGTTACTGTAATATACTTTCTTTTCTTATTTTTCTTTATTTATTTTACTTTAGATAAAGTGAGTCAGAGTATAATTATGCTAACAGTTAGGTCAATAAAAAGGTAAACGCATGCGAACGTACGCAAAAAATTGGCTCTAAGAGTCCAGTTCTCTTAGGGTTGCCAACAATCAAATAACATGTCGAACACAGGGGGCGTAAAAAACTTTGACTTGTCATCTAGTAAATACCACTAGCTAACCCTAGTACCGTAAGTACACTTATCATATAGGTCCGGGTTCGATTCCTATCATGTATCGTTTTATTCGATTTTCAAAATGTACATTCATCTGACGTTCTTAAAGTGAAGTGCACATACTAAATGCGAATAAATTTAAAGATATGACAGCCACACTGGACCTGACGTGACTGAGTCAACCCTAACTTAGGGAAGGTTCCAGCACCTCGGTAGGGACACGACTGAGCTAACGACAAATACAAAGTCTAACTCTTAAGATCGTCTATTAATCACGTGACTACTCCTACCTATAAACTTCCCCCCTTCCCTTACTATGTGGATTTCGAATGCCGTTACATTTAGACATCTTGGTCTTTGTATTTTCTAAGAGGTTGTAAAGGATTTATCACACGTCCGTGATGAAAACAGCTGGCAACCCTAGGTATGCGTCCAGTCTTGCGTTTCTATTTATGATTCCCATTCTATTTATAGTACGGACGGGATTACCTTCTTGTGAAGTTCATTGTACCGTATGCAGCCATCAAGGAGGTTCGTCATTGAATAAACATAAATACAATGAGGATTCCACGTAATCTTAAGAAGAAAGGCGTGAAGTGGAAGTCATTCCGCGTTTCGTATGATGAGTGTGCTGGAGGCCTAGTTTAGATCATCTAACCTTCCCATCCTTTCCTTATACTCGTAAGAGATGAAAGAGGAGAGAACGGAAGGAAGGTGAAATGTACTCTTTCTGTTTGTCTTCTCCCCTGTCGATTTAAGGTAGGTTATCTCGCAATTTTATCGAATTTAAGCTGCTTGATAATTTGCCTATTAATACTAAAAAAAAAAATGGACATGTTTTTTTTTTTCATTTTTCTTTCTATACGATATTGAGTAAAAATACGTGTAAACAATCTTGATCCTAGTCACAACAATCCTTCATTCAATTGATGACGTAATTATAAAGATAGTGCATGTCACCGGTCATTGTTGACTTACGCCAATTGCAAATCGAACTAGGCATATTTAATATCAAATCAAATTTATATGAGATAAGATTAAACCTGCAATTTATTAAAAGTTTAGAAATATAGAAATAACATAGTATGGTTTTGTACAAGTACTAAAATATTTTTTACAACAGTTTTTTTTAAGAGAATATACGAGATATTTATTGTCGCATACTTCGGTTGAAGAAGCCAACGATTAGATTAAAAGTTTATCAATGAAAATAACGTCTTAAAACATTTATAAAAAAGTAGTGTATTGGCGTGTCTCAAGCGCCAACGTCATGTGTCAGTTTTGACAGCTGTCACTCGAGACAGACGAGCAAGGCGTCCTTTGAAGGCGTCTGTATGGTATTCTACAAGTGGTGTGGTGTCGGTGAGCTGTAAAATTCGATACGCCTAGATTGATTGTAAAGGGACGAAGTTCTCGATTGATCTGTGACATATATTACGTCACCCGAAGCAATACGAACCAATTCAACAGACGTTGACAAAGCGATGTTACACACGAATTTGTTTTGCATTTCTATAGTTAATTGTATTTAATTCAATTGTTATTAATAACTATTATATAACGACAATTAATAAGTAAATAAGTCACAGTTCAATCATATAACTGTCGCCAGCGACTCCGACCGTAATAAAAAAATAGAAGCCTATGTCTTCTTCCAGACTATGTTTTACATATATGCCAATCCATGCAGCCCTTCTAGCGATACCTTTTAACAATCATCTAAACATTCGCATTTATAATAAAATATTAGTAAGATGTCGGCCTTTAGTTGAATTATTTTTCGATTCAATGTTATTGTCAACAAAGATAAGAGATGTCTCGTGATCTAACAAACCACATGTCTCCTTCAAATAATTTGGCTCGATAGACCATTGACCATAGATGTTAGAAATAATACTTTGGATAAGACAAGATTAGATTGTTCGTATGTTTTTTTCCTCAAATTAGATGAAATTAAATCTTTATTTCCATAATTTTCAATTATTTTAAAATAATAAGGATTTAATTTATGTAATAGAAGGTTCAAAATAATAATAAATTACACAAAACATAAAGTACGTATCAAATTTAATGCCGCATCCATTTTTATATAATTATTTATTTTTATTGCACCTTTATTTTTAGATTCACAGGTACATCTAAATATGAATGAGGAAAATGTACTTAGCTAATTTGTTTAGCGTTTGTAAATAATTAGGAGTTCATAGAATTAATCCCACTTAACATTTTGTCATGTTTTCACAAGCTGTCGCACGCGAATCCGTCCGTGGGGAATTAAAAAAAAAATAGCTTACGTGTTCATTCAGCCTATGTGAGATTGCAACCTTCAAACAAACATCCATCCATCTAATAACATTAGTAACAGAAATTGATATTTGATCACCTAATTCGGATTAATAGATAGTAAAGTTGAGCCTACTTTATTCAAGGGTTCAAGGTTCAATTATATTGCCATTAATTGGTGTTAGATTTAAATTAAAAAGGTTAAAAATCTATTGCATAAAATAGTTTTTTTACTCTTTACCCTTACACTCCGCTGTACCTTAATCAATAGAAGTCTTACTAATTTTATAAATACGAATGTTAGTATGGATGTTTAAAGGTATCTCCAAAATGGCTGCACGAATCTAACTGAATGCCATAGATGTAGAACATAGTGTAGAAGATCTCATAGGCTACTAATTATTTCTTTTTTCTTTATGCGAACGGAGTCGCTGGTGACAGCTACTTCATTATATCGCAAAAAGAATTACACAATCTTTATCGGTTAATGATTGCTCATAATTGAATAATGATATCTTTGTCATTATTATCACAAGGGTTTGTTGTAACTTTTAAATAGATTTTCTATATATAAATGTATACGCGGAAAAATAGAAGTCAATAACCCCAATAATTTGAAGGATATTAAAAATATTTAAGGTTATGTTGAGTAAAATTGATTACTCTAAAAAAAAATATTTTCTTTATAATAATTACGGAATAAATCAATATTTATTTTATTATTATTAAATACCAGCCGACGCCAGCGACTCCGTCCGCGTGGAATGAAAAAAAAACATAATTAGTTCCCGGCAATTATTCGATTTTTTTCTCAACTTTTAAACCTTCAGCAGTTCTCGAGTTTTAGCGAGAATAACGAACAGTAATTTATTTTTAGGGTTCCGTACCTCATAGGAAAAAACGGAACCCTTATAGGATCACTTTGTTGTCCGTCTGTCTGTCAAGACCCTTTTTTATATATAGATATTGGAAATTTATCAAATTGACCAGTATCGGCAATACAGGTGGAGCAATTTATTTCGTGAATATTTTTTTTTTCTTAGTTAGTATTGCTTTCATCAATAACAATTTTGTAACGTCTTTATGACAGTATTAAAAAAAACAACAATATTAAATATATCCTATGTTACTCAGTAATAAACTAATTCTCTAATAGTAAAACTAATAGTAAAAGAATTTTTAAAATCAGTTTAGTAGTTTTTGAGTTTATTCGTTACAAACATAGGAGTATAAATCTTTATACTGTTCTCTGTTAAACTTAAGTGAAAAATTATGTTTTTTTTTAATAATATCAGACATGTATAGGCATTTATAAGAATTAGTTTTTAATTATTTTAATATTTACGTGCCATTACGTCGAATAAGATTTGTAATAATTTGTAAATTTGTTTAGTAATAAAATTACATAAATTATTACTTGCCAATATCAAATAATTACTGTCTTTCTTTAAATTTTTTAATATTAAATCTGACTAATATAATCTATTATATATACATATAAAATAAAGTCGTGTTAGTTACACTATTTATAAGTCAAGAACGGCTTTACCGATATGGTTGAAAATTGGTAAGGAGGTAGCTAAGAGCCAGGAGACGGACATAGGATACTATTTATTCATTTTTTTTCGAATTTATGCCTTGAAGAGCTGCTTTTAATTTAACTTACTAATATTATAAATGCGAATGTTTAGATGGATGTGATGTGGATAGGTGGGCTACACTAATTAAGTTTTTTTTATATATCCATGCGGACGGAGTCGCGGGCGACAGCTAGTATGTTATATATTATTGGTCTTATAAAGAAACAATGTAGAATTAATGAAATCTTACCAACAATAGACATTAATATTTGATTATGTTTGCTTCCTTTCTTCTCTTCTTTGCTTGGCGTTACTTCGTACACTTTATTCACCATTTTTTAATAATTAAAAAAAACAAGTAAATTCGCTAAATGTCCGATAAAACTGTTCTAAATTTAAATAACGACAATAAATTAATTTTAAACAATACTTATTTTAAAAGCGGTCAGTATTCTTTTTTATTTTAAAATATAAATTAATCCCGGTTTATTACGGAACTTCGGCGCAAATCGCGCGGCAACGGCCGTTCGTACACTGACATTTATGTACGTTTTCCCGCGCTTTTATAACCGCGGCAAACTAAGGGTTGATCCAACATTATGTTATATTGTTTTTTTCTAATCTTCCAACTAAAAATAAACAATGGTTTTACATTTTTCATCCATACTTAATTATGATTAGATCATTATTTTGACGTTTAATCGAACTTATTTTGTCTGCACATGAGTTTTTTTTTTACAAATCACAGATAATATTATTAATCTTAAGCAGATGTTATATCAACAAAATTCTTGGGCATTCAATATTTTCACAATTCAACTTTCTATCGGAATTTCAATAAAAATATTCATAGAATTTCTTTTGTCGGAAACAATAATATCTATGTAAATGTAATTCCGAGAAACATTGTAAATGAGGACTTCTTCCTGGCCTCGTAATCGGACGTTGAAAACATTGAGCACATACTTTAATTTTACTAATATTATAAATGCGAAAGCTTAGATGGATGGATGGATGTTTGGCAGAAGGTATCTCTAAAACGGCTTAACGGATCTCTTTGGAATTTTGTATACATGTAGAACATAATCTGGAAGAACACATAGGATACTAATTAAGTTTTCTTTAATTCCACGCAGACGGAGTGTCTGGCAATGACTAGTTTAATAAATAAAGCACACAACACTACTAATTAAGAATGATAAACAATTCTCTACCATTAACTATGGGCTTCTGAGACCAAAATTCTCGTTTAAAACAGGATTTATGTTTTGTCAAAGATCATGACAGGGATGACAATATTTAAACAAAGATTTTGGTCACTGAAATCAATGGTAAATCCCGCACGCATAGAAATGCTTTAGTATCGATTGAGATGTCTTAAATATTGTTCTGGGACTGACATGTTCAAAAGAACAAAAGTCCCTAAAAAAAAATAAAGAGAAAAAAATATTGTTCTGTTTATCTTTGTTGTGATTAAAAACAAAAGGATTTTGTCTCTTTGTATGTCACTAAAATTGGCGACAAGTTGGTAATTTTAAGTAATCTTTGGGCTTCCCCGAAGCTACACCTAAGTAATACTACAAAAATTTTATTTACGTGTACTTATGTTTTGTGTTTTGCACGTAGTAAAGACAATAAGAGGTAATTTAATTGATAAATATTTACATTAGTAGGGAATCCCTGAGATTACAGGGGAGCTAGACAAAGTACATTCGCTCCGAAGCGATTCCATAACGAATATCAAAAATGTACGCAATTGACGCGCGACAATCACTATACGTCCCCACCGGGGTAAACCACGTCAACCACGCTGGCCCAGTTCAGGTTGACTTCACACGTATCTTTGAATTTCTTCTCAGATATGTGCAGGTTGCACCACGATGCTTTTCCTTTACCGTAACAACGTCGGATAAATGTACATATGTAAATCGAAAAACACATTGGTACATGGCGGGATTCGAATTCAGGACCTGCAGATTACAAGTCAAGTGTCCCTGAGCCACTGACGCTTTTCGTATCGAAACATAGTTCTAAATATTTTTGAAGTTTTTTATGAAATCGCTTCGAATCGAATATACATTGTCTAGTTCTAAGGAGTCGGTAAAAAGATAGGTTTAAAACAAAAGAAGGGGTTTTAAAAAAGAACAAAATATAGATAAATAAGGAATATTTCTCATATAAAATTATTTATTAATGTTGTCTGTCGTTATGAGATACCACAGCTAAAATAACAATATAAAACATATTGTTATCTCTTTTTGTCACAGAGAAGATAATTATGTTTTAAAGATATATTCTTTTATATAAAATTCTCGCGTCACAATTTCCGTTCCCATACTCCTCCGAAACGGCTTGACCGATTCTCATGAAATTTTGTGAGCATATTGAGTCGGTCTGAGAATCGGCCAACATCCATTAATCCCGCGCGGACAGAGTCGCGGGCGACAGCTAGTTTAAATAGAAGATTCATGGAGGCAGATTTTTTTTTATTTGCAACAATTTAAACTGTATGAGACGCTTTAGACTGTGATTTCGTCCACGAGAAATTTAAAAAAAAAATTAGACTATGTTTAGTTTCGGAGTATTTTCTACATCTGTGCAATCAATGGACATCCATTCAGTCGTTCTGGAGATATCTTCTAATAAAATTTTATACAAATTTTCGCATTTATAATATTAGTATGATTGCATCGTCACAAAAAACTTGTCCAGAACAATAGTTTTAAAGAGGTTTTAAAGAGCACTCAATATTTTTTTTAAAAACACTAATTGATAAATAAACATTGTACTATCGACGCTTTACAAAAACATATCGCTATCTCTGTTTTAATAAAGATAATGAAAAAGATGACAGCATGTTTTCACTCACTTGTTTCGTAAATGGGTACGCATGTTGCCTTTTGCGTGAACGGGAAAATCAACTCGGGGATTACCTGTGCAGTCTTATTCTGATTCAATACACGAATTTATTTTATAAACGATTCGCTATCGCGTAACAGAAATTAAAATATTCTTTGCGTAAAAATGTAGTGAGGTGATGTTCGGTTATTGGTATCTATAGGTTTTATTTGTTTTTACTAATATTATAAAGATTTGATTGCTTGCATTGAAATGGTTCCGAAAGTGAACCGATTTGAAAAATTCTTTTACTGTTGCAAAGCTACACTATCCCTGATGTACATAGGCTATTATTTATAACTAGATTTTTCATAATACTCTCGGACATGTTGCAGGCTAGGACGAAATACAAATAGATAGAAATTTTATATTTTGATTTTTGCATAACAATAATGAAATTTCTTTTCATTGTTCGATTTTACTTTGAATAAAATACAGGAATTTAGAATTTTTAATAAAATTTATATTTCCCGCAGAATGGACGGTCGATGGGGCCGCAAAGTCTTGGAGTAGCGGCCACGGGCAGGCGTCCCGCAAGATGGATCGATGGTCAAGGTTGCGGGAGCATCCTGGATGCACACAGGACCGGTCATCGTGGCGATCTTTGGGGGAGCCCTATGCCCACCAGTGGGCGACTTATGGCTGAGCAACAATAAAATGTAATTTTCCTTTCTTGTTGTAAAGAATTTATATCTTTTCTTGTACCACTAACAATGGACCCTACACAAAAAATCACAAACGCATTAATGTAAAGTTAAATTAAAAAAAAATTAAAACATTCTAGGATATGTTCAAGAATAAGGACGTTTCCCTCAACTTAAAATCACTCGCTTCTTTATCAATATCTTGTGATAAATATTTACTCTTGCAGCAAGGGTATCCCCCCAGCTTCATACATTGGGAATATTATCATTTGACCTGGTTTATCATATATTACAATACTTCGTCATCAGGTCATACACGGGAGTCTACCCTATTTAGTGTTGACTAGACCATAATCAATCACGAGGGCTCAGTTCGGGTTGATTTTACACATCATTGAATTTCTTTGCAGACGTGCAGACTGCATCACAACGTTTTCCTTTACCGTAAGGAAGTAGGAATGTTTAAATTACTAGCCTAGCCTAGTTAGTAAGCCTAAAACTTCGAAATTGCGATAAATCGCTTGACTTCTCTCAGAATAGTCCTTCAAAGTTTGTTTGAAAGAGTAATCATATATGTATATTAATATAAGTTGGAGTGTCTGTATGTAATGTAAATGAATTGCGTCTGATAACGAAAAACCAATTTTTAAAGTGTCTGTCTGTCTGTGTGTCGCAAGGCCGTGTTTTTTCCGGGGAATCTCCGGAATGGCTGGACTGATTTTGTCGAGACTTGGATAGGAATGTAGTTGAAGGACGCGGGCATGTTATAGGCTATTTTTTAACTAATAATTCATCATCACCTCACTATACGTCCCCACTGAGGTGCTCGGAGCCTACGCGAAATCAAGGGTGTCTAGGCCTTAGTCAACCACGCTGGCCCAGTGCGGGTTGGTTGACTTTACACATATCTTTGAATTTCTTCTCAGATATGTGCAGGTTGCATCACGATGTTTTCCTTCACCGTAAGAACGTCGGAATAAATGTACATATGTAAATCAAAAATCGAAAAACACGTAGGTACATGGCGGGATTTGAACCCAGGACCTGCAGATTGCAAGTCAAGTGCTTAACCTAGTGTGCCACCACGCGCTACTAGTAATAGCTACTAAATTCCGTGCTGACGAAGTCACGAGCGATTGCTAATACTTTAATATATTTTCATGGTAATTTCCGCATGTTAAATTTTCAGACGGTCAATTTTTATAGTCATTAAATTCAATTCAAATTAAATGAGTCAAATAATAGATATGTCAAAGATCACAGCTGTTTTTATGATGTTAATTGGTTGTTTAAGATGCTACATTGTGAAGAAAACATAGAGTTTAAAAAATATAGAGGTATCACTTAATTATTACCAATTTTATAAACGCGTAATAATATATTATAACCGACGGCTTCATGACCTAAACGCATGTAAAAACGTATTAAGTTTTCGCTTAGATCTTACTAATATTATAAATCCGTAAGTATAGATAGATGGATGTTTGTTAGTAGATATCTCCAGGACTACTGAACAGATTTCGGTTGAAATTTAGCACAGATGTAGAATATACTCTAGAACACATAGGCTACTAATTAAGTGCACACGGAAGCTAATTATTCTATAAAAGGTAGCACAATTTGTAACAACTGTGCCCTTAACTCAACTATTTAAGTATCCTTACATATTGTTGTCTCAATTTTTATAAAGAAATTGAAAGGGACGACATATTATTTTACAATTTATAACCCGCGGTAACAGCTCTATTACGTTTTCATTCTAAACTCTATGGTAAACAACGTGTTAATTTTTCATGAGACCAAAAGCGTTTAATATTGCAAGTTTTATCACACTTCCTCATTACATTCGGGACTTTCCTATGTATCTTTTAAGATGATATATAACTGTTTACTTATGTATTCTTCAATTATTTTAATTACGACTGGCTAACTAGTGACTTAACTAGTTAAAAAAGATAATATAATTTTAAATAAAGCGATACATTTTGTTTTATTATGCGATTATTAGCTGTCGACTCTGTCCGCGCAGAATTAAAAAGAAACTTAAATAGTAGCCTATGTGTTCTTCCAGACTTTATTCTATATGTACGCAAAATTTTGTCGTGATCAGTTCAGCCGTTCTTGAGATATCTTCAAAACAAACATCTCTCTATCCATCCATCCATCAAAACATTCGCATTTATCATTAGTTTACTTAGTAAGACTTAGAGACAAAGTCATATGATCTTTTGATTCCTATTTTTAATTCGCTTGATGATTTTTTTTTAATATTTGACATAATATTTATTAATTATATAAATACATGTTACATTATTTATCAACACGTAAAATGATACTTTAGTTTTATTTTTACTTTTAATCACACTGACCTAATATTAAATTTGGTACATACTGTCAAACTTTAGAATAAAAATATGAATAACAAACAGTGCCCTTAATAAACGTTGTAATTGTACAAGGAAAAATCAATAAAAGATAAATCAATAGACAATAGAATGATTAGTTCATATCAGTTTCATTAAATATATCCAACTGTTACTAATACGCACCGGTTTTTATTAATTCATATTCCGACCGATTATAAAAATCTTCCCATACAGATATTTAATAGACAATCTAAATCAGTGGTTCCCAAACTTATTTTGTCTACTGCCCACTTTGAGAATAAATATTTTTTTAGCGCCCCCATATTTTCACATATTTGAAAACCACTATAACTTCAAATTAAATTAATTAATTATTGTGACCTATATATGTATATTAACGGAGAATTGTAAAGGAAACTTTTACTATAACCCGCAACTTGAGACCTGCAGCGCCCACAAGGGGGCGTTATCGCACACTTCGGGAAAGACTGATCTAGAACAAAAAACAGGGCCGTATTTACAATATTTGGGGCCCGTCTATTAGTTGACATCGCTTAGGGCCCTGGTGCTCGACGCCCATTTAGGCACTATAACCAGGTGCCCTTACAACTCTGGGTTAAGACGGGTCTGCCGTTAAATATGCTGGGATAAAAAATGCAGATTGTAATGTTTCTTTTGTACCGAATTTGGTATGGATGTAGAACATAATCGGGAAGAACACATAGGCTACTAATTATTTTAGTACCGTGCGGACGAAGACTTGCGACGGCTAATTTATAATATTACTTAGTACGATTTAATTTTAATATTTCATTGTTTAAATTCATACGGTGTCGTAAATAAAATTATTGATTTCCTACAAATAGATATGTAGATGTTAATCAGTAATATTTTATGTCTAAACATAATATTATTTCAAAATAATGTTTCCTTAAGGAAAATGAGGGACTTAACATAAAGGTTACGTAGGTCGATTAACTTGAGTTAACAAGTTACTTTATTTGATTAGAGCATTGACTAAAAGTCCAATGACTTGTATTGAAAAGGAAAGACTTTGTCACGTTAAAAATTTAATACATTGTAAGAACTAACTGTGTGTTTCTGAGGAAACATTTGTACACAAATTGTCAGCGTAAATGCCGAACCTAGTAATCGATCGTTAAGAACGATTATTGGGTATTCCATTGGCCGTGGGTTTCTGAGACCAAAATCTTTGTATAAAACATGTCGTCGTCCCTGTTATTATCTTTGACAAAACAGACATAATGATATGTTTTAAAACCACGGGGAGTGCTCTGAAGAATTGTTTGGAACGATTCCTGCCGCCGAGTTCCGTCATCGGACGACAAGACAGACCGCCAGGTTCCATCCCCACCATCTCGATGGCTGGCAATCCACAACCGTGCGGTTTGCGCGAAAGTTCCTGTCTCGCACAGCAGCGCTGTGGAATGGTCTGTCCTCGGCGGTATTTCCATACCGCTACGACTTAGGGTCCTTTAAGAAGCGAGCGTATCACCATCTCAAAGGCAACGCATCTGCGGTTCCTCTGGTATTGCTGATGTCCATGGGCGTCGTTGAACACCTCGGTGTTCCTGCTCTCGTTTGCCCCCTATTGTTATTAAAAAAAACGGATATTTCGTTCTCAGAAACCCGTCAGTAAGCTATTTCTTATACGTAACCTCGTACTATAAATTCGTTAAATGATTGCTATGTTCTCGTACATAAAGATATGAATAATGAATGGCACTTAATATATGGAGCAATCATCGATTTATTGGAAATGCATAAACGTAGGGGATATAATACGCTTTGTTTTAAAGAAGAAATATTATGTAATTTTACTAATGTTATAATATAAATGAGAATGTTTGGATGGATGTCTGTTATAATATATCTGCAGAACGACTACATGGATCTGACTGAAGAAGACATTGGCTAATTAAATGTTTTTTCTTTAATTGTCGGACGAAGTCACGGGCGACAGCTAGTCTATAATAACGAGAAAAGATTTGTTTATTTTTTGCGTTGAATAGATTCTGAAAATGTCACTGTTGGGACGCTACACTATCACTTAGTGAATGATGTCAACCTACACTGGACTAGCGTGGTTGACTATGGCCTAGTCACTGACTTACGGTAGGCTCCGAGCTTCTCAGTAGGGACATATAGTGAGCTGATGATGATGAAATTCTCTGTAAATTATATATCTCTCGATATTCATGCATGAACGATGAGTAATAAGTTATGTCGAGAGCTAATTAACTATCTTAATGAATTGTGACTCCGGATAGTTCGATTGATTTACGTAAAGTTCTTTGATATGTAGAACATATTAATTTAAAGAACTGTTTAAATATAAAATTTAATTTTATATGCATTTTATTTGATATAAAAATGTGGTCTAACAAAAATCGATAGAAAAGTGCTTACAGATTTTAATAAAAAAAAAAAACTTTAAATGTAATTTTTTCGAAGTCAAATATGTAGTTAAATTTACAGCATCATTAAATGCCTTAGAAAGGATCAATGCAAAACCAAGCCCGTACATAATACAGAGTGTATTCCGCCGTGGTATTTCCGCGTTTTACCTGATGAAAAAGTGAAAAGGAGGCATTTATTCAAATTATCCATT